CCCTACCCCACCCCCACCTCCAGGCCCCCACAAGGCCACCCTCTCCCACTCCCTGACTTCATCTTCCCCAGGGCAAAGCCAGGCCCGAGCATCAGTGTACCTATGAGGCTCACACAGGGCCCAGACCCACCCCACCCCCGCACCCAGCCCGGCCTGCCCCACACCTTGAACACAAGCTCGTCAGTCACCGCAAACGTCCGGTCCAGCTTCCCAGACAGGGAGTTGATTTCCTTCTGAAGCTCCTTCGTGTCAGACAAGATCTGGCAGAGACCAGGGTAGCCGTGAGCCCGTCTGGGGTGGGCAGCCAGCCAGCTGAGGGCATTCACGTTTATGCTGTCCCATCCAGACAGGGTCAGGGGTGGCTGGAGTGGACTGTGTGGGGCTCTTCTGTGTCTGGGTATGGCCAGATAGCTCTGACTTTCAGAGGGTGTGAGGTCCCCGCGTAGCCCTGCAACACACATCTGCCCCTTTGGCCTATCTACCCGTATGACCCACCCTCCCTGGCCACGATGGCGTACCTTAGTGATCTCTTCCTTCTGCTTCCGGATATTGCCCACAATCTCCAGGATGCGCTGGGTATAGGCCAGCCGAGACACGTCTCTGGGCAGGGTCTCGAGCTCTGACATCTAGGCAGAGACAGCAGGTGCTCCCTTAGCACCCACACCTCCCCGGCTCTGAGTGGCCCAGGGCCCCCGCACGGGACTTACCAGCTGCTTATAGACGTCCTCCTTCCGGCGGGCCTCTTCAGCAGCTGCCCGAACACTCTGGTGCAGCTCCTGGATCTCTGCCAGCCGTCGAGAAGATTCCAGCTGCCAGGACCCCACGGGTAGAGGGCAGTGAGGCAGAGCGCAGGGCTAGCCCCCTAGGGAGGGACCGAACCCGCCCCACCCATGGCCCCGGACCCCACCACCTACCTCTCTGCAGTCCTGGAGCTTTCGGAGGTGGCGGTACTCAGCAAGGAGCGGAACACGGTGCTTTTCCCACTGACCTGCCAAGTGGATGATCCGCTGGGCACTGCTCTCTACCACGAGCTGGGGGTGGTGGCAGGGGGACTACATGTCACACTGGCTGGGCCCATCCAACTCGGACCCTCCCAGCCCAGCCTCAGCACCAACCCCACCTGCAGCTTGGCAAGGTTGGCAGCCCCGTCGGGCAGCAGCTCCACCGCCCGGCTCTTCAGGCGCAGGGCCTGCTCATGCTCCGCTGTGCTGAGCTTGCTCTGCCGACACTCGGTCTCCACCTGGCACCCAGGATCCCCACTCCCAGTCAGTGGGGAAGCCCCATGCACACCACAACCTCCCAGCCCCCGCTAAGCCTGGAGAGCCCTGGCCTAGCCCAAGGCCCTCAGATGACAACACATCCCTCTAGGGGCCCTAGGGGCCCCTCGGACCCCTCCTGATAGTAACAGAGACCTATAAGCAGTGACAGGCACCCACAGGCCCCTCTGACCCCTCCACCTCCACACGGACTCCCCAGGACCCCTGATGAGCCCCACAAGCCCCTACAGAGGCCCACGGACACTTACACCCCTCCCGATTCTCACAGACACCAAGGCACCTCTAACCCCTGCAGGTCCAACACCACCCCCACCCCCAACCCTACATCGCCCTCTCACTCCCACTGATTCTCCTGAACCCTCAAGAGGCCCACAGGTCCCCAGTGTCTCCCATGAACCCTTCTGACAAGTGCAGACCTCTACAGAGTACCCCCTCAAGTCCCTCTAAGCCGTTTAGGCCAGACTTGTGACCTGACCCCAGTGGACAGCCCCTCTCCCACACCCACCTGCACAAGGCTGATCCCCAGCGTCTTCATGTTGGCTTCAACCTCTTCAATGTTGCGATTTACTCCCTCCAGCTCCTCCCGAAGAGACTCCAGCTCCTGCTCCTGAGCTGCCCACGTGTCCTGGGAGGCACAGGCAGTCGGGGTGGGGGTGTCAGGCCCAGTAGACAGCCAAGGGCCCAAGACACCTCCCCCGCCCCACCATTGCTCTGCTCACCTGTTCAGGCCGCCGGGAGGTGGCCGGCACATCTGACACCTGGGCTGCCTGGGCCTCGGGCTCCTGGGGAGCGAGAAAGGAGCATCCTGGCTGTCGGGGAAAGCCCTGCGCCTCACAGCCCAGCCTCAACATCCACCAAAAGCACCTTCCCAGCACCATACCCAGGTACAGTACCACTGTACCACTGATGGCTGTCAGAATGTGTGTGAGGATCAATGCGCTCTCTGTGACCTTAGACTGGAGTGTTTGCTCATAAAGAAACCTCCCTGACCCTGACACAGCTCTTGCCCATCTGCCCATGAGAAGGATGAGGGCCCCTCTGGATGACCATCCAAGGAGAGAAGATATGTCCAGAGGAAACTGCCAGGAAAAGCTGGGGTCTGCACAAAGAGCAGCCCTACACGCTTACATAGTTCCCACCCCTCTACCCTTTCTCCACGGAAGTTCCCAAGAAGCCAGGGGACCGTTCTGGGTGCCCATCCACCATGGGGAGAGGGCAGGTGGGAACACGGGCCCCTGTATGGATAAAACGTGGTATGTGTACATAAAGCAATACTGCCTTGGCCCCATCAGCATGTCCCAGGGCCACTCAGGCCCACCCACCAGATGGAAGGTGAACTTCTCTGAATGTGTGAAGCGGGAGCCCTTGGGGGCACCAGTCCTGGCACCAGCACCCCAGGCCTGCAGCAGCTCTCCCAGGTCTCGGGCTTGTTGGGGGGGCTCTGGCCGGCCCCAGGTCTGGCGCAGATGCTCGGCCAGGTGCTTCTGCAGCCGCTGCCGCTGAGCCCGAGTATCCTCCTAGAAACAGTGGAAGTGTGTGGAGGCCTGCTGGGTACCCAAGGCCCTGCCTCCACCAGGGAGCTGCTTGACAAGGTGCTACCCCGAAGTCACACCAGCCATCCAGCCTCTCCCACAAGGGGGCCCGGACCCACTCTCCTGGTCCACAGGCCTGGGAGCTCCCTGAGGACGGGGCCTCCTCTTCTTCAGCCCTGCTTCTCTCTACCCACTGGCTCCCTGCGCTGGAGGAGGCTGTGGGAAGGGAGAGAAGTAAGCTTGCAGCCCCCAAATTAGAGACCAACACTCCAAAGATATGTGGGGACAGAGCGGAAACCGAGTCAGAGGTGCTGAGCAAAGAAGGGGGCAGAGGCAGAGTGGAATTGAGAGAGAGAGAGAGACATGAGAACAGAGGCAGTTTTGAGACAGCTGGAGAAATCTGATTATGAACTCAGTGTTGGATGGT